AATTACAGTATGGCATCAAAACCAAGAAACTGACATTGGTACAATCCACAGAGTTTATTCAGATTTCACCTATTTTACATGTACTTCTTTGTGTGTGTGTAGTTCTATACAATTTTATCTCCTTTTTTTGATTAATTATACCTCTTTGTTTTGTTATTTTAATGATTGCTTTGGGATTTATAGTATGTATCTTTATCAGTCTACCTTCAAGTGATAACATACCATTTTCACATAGCAGTGGTTCTCAACTTGCATATCAGTGGTTCTCCCCTGGGGGCAATATCTAGAGATTTTTTTCCCAGTTTTATTGAGAAATAATTGACATACATCACGGTATAAGTTTAAGGTGTACAGCATGATGGTTTGATTTACATACATTGTGAAGTGACTATCACAATAGGTTCAGCTAATATCCATCTCTCATATAGATACAATAAAAAGAAAAGAAGAAAAAAGGAAAAAAACTTTCTCCTTGTGATAAAAACTCAGGATTTACTCTCTTAACAATGCTTCTCTATAGCATACATCAGTGTTAACTGTAGTCATGTTGTACACTACATCCCTAGTACTTATTTATAACTAGAAGTTTGTACCTTTCAACTGTCTTCCAATTCCCCCTCCTCCCACTCTCTGCCTCTGGTAACCACAAGTCTGATCTCTTTTTCTATGAGTTTGCCTTTTTTTTTTAGATTCCACATATAAGTGAGATCATACAGTATTTGTCTTTCTCTGACATTTCTCTTAGCATAATGCCTTCAAGGTCCATCCATGTTGTCACAAATGGTAGGATTTCCTCATTTTTTTATGGCTGAATAATATTCCACTGTATATATACATCACGACTTTATCCATTCATCCATCGATGGACACTTAGGTTCTTTCCATGTCTTGGCTATTATAAATAATGCTGCTATGAACATGGGGTACATATATCTTTTCAAGTTAGTGTTTTTGTTTCCTTTGGATGTATTCCCAGAAGTGGAATTGCTGTATCATATGATAGTTCTATTTTTAATTTTTTGAGGATCCTCCATACTGTTTTCCATAGTGGCTGTACAAATTTACAATCCTACCTACAGTGCACAAGAGTTTCCTTTTCTCCACATCCGTGACAGCGTTTGTTATCTCTTGTCTTTTTTGATGATGGCCATTCTAACAGGCATGAGGGTTTTCTCATTGTAATTTTAATTTGCATTTCCCTAATGACCAGTGATGTTGAGCATCTTTTCATGTACCTGTTGGCCTTTCATATATCTTCTTTGGAGAAATATCTATTCAGGTCCTTTGCCCATTTTTTAATTGGGTTATTTTTTTTTTGCTATTGAGTTGTATGAGTTTTTTATATATTTTGGATATTAACTCCTTATCAGATAAATGGTTTGCAAATATTTTTTCCCATTCCATAGGTTGTCTTTTCACTTTGTCGATGGTTTCTTTTGCTGTACAGAAGAAGCCTTTTAGTTTGATGTAGTCCCACTTGTTTATTTTTTATTTTGTTGCTTGTGCTTTAGGTGTCAAAACCGAAAAATCATTACCAAGACCCATGTCAAGGAGCTTTGTTCCTACATTTTCTTCTAGGAGTTTCATGACTTCAGGTCTTACATTGAAGTCTTTAATCCACTTTGAGTTAATATTTGTGAATGGCGTAAGATAAGGTTCAGTTTCATTCTTTTACATGTAAATATCCAATTCTCTCAGCACCGTTTATTGAAGAGAATCTTTTCTCCATTGAGCATTTTTGGCTCCCTTGTCAAATATTAGTTGACTGTATATGCTTGGGTTTATTTCTGGGCTCCTAGAGATATTTTTATCACAACTCTGGGGTAGTGATACTGGCATCTACTGGGTAGAAGCCATGGATCCTGCTAAATGTCCTATAATGCACGAGACAGCCCCACACAACAAGGAATTATACAGTACAAAATGTCAATAAGACCGAAGTTGGAAAAATCCATATTTCCACCTGGTATCATTTTTATTCTGACTGAAGGACTTAGTTTAACATTTCTTGTAGTGCAGGTCTGCTAGTGATTAATTCTTTTAGCTTTTTAATGTCTGAAAATATGTTTTGCCTTTGTTTTTGAATGATATATCGACTGCTCTAGAATTCTAGGTTGGCAGTTTTTTCTTTCAGTGCTTTAAATATGTTGCTCCATTGTCTTCATGCTTGCAATGAATCCAACAAGAAACCTGTATAATCTTTCTTCTTCCTCTGTGCATAATGCGTTTTTCTTTCTCTGGCTATTTTCATGATTTTGTCTTTTTGACTGGTTCTGAGCAGTTTAATTATGATGTACCTTGGAGTCGTTTTCTTTGGATTTACTCTGTGCTTATTGTTCTCCAACTACTGAGGCAAGCCCCTTCTGAGTACTTTACCCAATGCATAAAAGAATTGTAATTTTTGTCTGGCTTGTGGGAACAAACAGTCCTTCTCGCCTTGCTTTTGTACCTGGATCTGTTCACTCAAATCCTTTGGAATGGTTCTTTCCCCAGCCTCGGATAAGTTTCCTCATATACATGTGTCACTCAGTACTCTGCTGGATATCCTAGGGGGTGGATTCACAGATCCCCAGAATTCTGTGTAGTTCTCCCCCCGCCCCCCGCCCCCGAATACTGTCTTGTGAACCCTGCCTGCCTTGGTCTCCTTGGATTCTTAGCTCTCTCTCTTCAACTCAAGAATTGTGCCAGGCTCTACCTGGCTCCCCCTCCCTGTACCACTGCCTGGGAACTCTCTCAAGGCCATAAACTAGGGCACTTATAGGGCTCACCTCATTTGTTTCCCATCTATCAGGGATCATTGTCTTTTGTTGCCGATATCAATGTCTTAAAAATCGTTGTTTCATATATTTTGTCTGGGATTTTTTGTTTCAGGCAGAAGTGTAATTCTGGTCCCTGTAACACTAGTATGGCCAGAAGTGGGAGTCCCTCCTTTAGTTTTATTCATGTCCAAGTCTCTCCTCATTTCTATTGTTTTCTTCAACCCATGAATTATTTAGAAATGTGTGTTTAATTTCCAAATGTATGTGTTTGTTAGCTAACTTGAATTCTATCCTAACTGCATTACGATCAGTGTAGAGGACATTTTGCTGCACTGTCTGGATTCCCCTGGATTGTCCCCCTCCCCGCCCCAGCTTACTAGAGGGGCAGGCTGAAAGCCCTCAACTGTCAGCCAGCTCCAGGCATTCTCTTCAGCTGAAGAAGTCTACCTCCCCCAAGATCATGCTTCCCCCACCTTCAGGGTAGCGCGGTAGAGCTTGTATTCAAGGACTGGTCAGTGAAGAGGCATAAAGGCCCAGACCTCTCACTTCAAGTTTGGGCAGTTTTGAAAGGCGATGCCAGTCTGAGTCTGAAGGCAACAAAGGCAACAAAGGCAACTCTGTGACTGCCACACAGCTAACTTCTCTGTCTGCTAATCCTGCTTTCTTTGCTCTCCCTCAGGTGTTAATCCCAATAACACTCTCCAATAAATTTGCTGCGTTATCCTCTCTCTGAGTTTACATCTTGAAAAGCTCAACTTAAAACAATTAGATAACTCAATTTTTAAAAATTTGCTAAATTTTAAATAACTGTTCTATGTGTAATTGGAAATGTACATACCTAATTTTATATTATTTTCTTGGTATAGTGTTTCCCAAATTTGAACCCTAAATTACTATGAGGATTGACTCATGACTACGAATAATTAGGGAAACTGTTATTTTCCACTTAAATCCCAGGAGAAGTCCCACAAGCTTCCTTGATGTCTTCCTCTGCTCTTAGGTGACTTTTCTAATGCATGCTTTCACTGAGGATGTAGCCCTGTAAACATCTGCGCTTCTTCTGGAGACCCTAGTTCCAATTCTCCACCTCTCGCAAGCCCAAGGACTCAAATCCTGCCCTCGTGGCTGATAAAATCTAAGTCCCTTGGTGACCAAGATCACCAAACTGCCTCACGGCACCCACGGCATCATCACCCACTTACCTTGCTGGCTTCCACTTCTTCATTTTAGGCTCCAAGGATTTACTTCACTTTCTTGAAAGCCTTTTAAAAGCATGTTTAAGTTTTATCCAGCATTTCTAGGTTGTTGTGTAGTGAAAGGGCTCTATGATGATCTATCTTGCCATATTGTTCTCTTATACTTTTTAAAAACATGAATCTCAGCTCAATTCTGTGGTTAAAGCAACAGTGCAGATGTGACAGCATTTTCTCTCAGGCTCAGTAAACTGCTTGCTAATTTATCAAGATTATACAAACTTTGGTTTATATCTCAATAATTTTGTGATTTATAGGTTCTTTTGAGGGAAAATGAACAATCATTATAAAAATAGTTATGTAAAGAGTCAAGACTCCTAATGGAAAATTTTCTTCAATCCCCACTGTGAAAGTTTTGTTTTATATAGCTTCCTAGGCCCTGTTCCAGATATGTTGATTTGGTGGACCTGGGAAATTTATCTGTATGATGAATTACCTCTTGAGATTCCCAGATTTAGAGTTCACTGGCCTTAGCTTCAGAGAATGGTTACAGCTTTTGCATGTCTACAGTCCACACAAATTATGCCACATGGATTTGAAAAGGCCGGTGGGAGGAGTGAGAACTAGTCAGGTCCTGTATGTGTGTTGCCAGAAAGGAGTTTGCCATCTCCTTTTTCACCTCTCACAAACCTACCTTCTGGAGCAGAAATGGACTTCAGGGAACATGGCTGGTTTTATACAGCCAACTGAGAGCTACATAGTAGTACGGGTTTGAAACACAGATAAGGCCAGAGAGGAGGAGTAGGACAATAACTGGCTGTATAAGTCCTCTAAGGAAATAACAGAAGGACACTTTTAATGGCTAGAGAGCTCTCATTTATGTACTATGAGTATGAAAATAATAAGCTTCATGTTCTGTTTGAATCAGAAACAAACCAGAATCACTTCTTCATTCCCATAACAGCACTTAAAGTAAAGCAGATTGAACTGTTTTCTTCCCACTCTGAACAAAGGCAGGAAGCAAAAAGAAAAAATTCAGTGATATTTATAAGTAAATAACAACAGATATTTATTGGAGGAATTATAACTATTTCCTGCAAAAACAATTTTATGACTCTAGTTTTATAACATCAGAGGTGGTTAAAGATAGTCTAGTTTCTAAAAACAATCCAACAATATAAGCATACTATTTTATTTATATTGAACGGAAAAAAAATCAAAAAAGGAAGTCTCTCAGTAAGGATACGGAGCTGAAATGAAATTTAGTCTTATGGGTTTTATATGCAACAGAATTATTCAGCTATTTAAAGCTCTTTTTTGTTTCAGTTTTCTTCTCAGTTCCATGTAAGACCTAACACAGTACACACCATGAATGAAAAATATAAGTCTGGGGAGACACTTTCCTCTCTGCAGGATTCTTTGTCTTTCGTATTTCCCTTTAATCAAGCCTATATAAAGTAAGAATTTATTTCACACTTTTCTCTCAACTAAAAAGAGACATATATATTTGTATTCCACACAAGAGCAATTCTACACAATTAGGATGTCTGTGGCTAAAAATATTGCTTCTTCATATTCCTTAGGAATATTCAGGGTACTAAAACATAATTGAATAAATGTGAATGCACAAGAAGTCAGTAGATGACAAGAACAGGGATTTCAAATGAGCTGGGCTTTTGGTGGAAAATAGAGAAGAAATGGCAGTAGAGAGAGGTAAATGGGTTGAGGGAGACAAAAACTAGCAATTGAGGGACTGCGGGGGAAGCACACCATTAGGGAACAGCCAGGTTTCCATTAGAACAGGAAGTTGAAAAGAACACATTCAAAGAGACAGACCCTGAATTCCAGAGTGCATCATGAAAGGGCTTGAAAGGATGGTAAGAACTGCAGAATTAAACTCTGACTGAAGGAAACAGCTGATAGTCTTGAAAAACTCCTAGAGGAAGGTAGGTGATGAGTTCAAATTATATTGCAGGATATTTATCTGAAAGGGTACAGGGACCAATTGTCAATGTTTACTCTTGCAGCTCAAGACAGGTATCAGCCTAGAAGATGGGTGAGGGCCTCCTCAAGGGTCTAGGATCTTTGCTTGCCTAGGGCAAGAAATGTGAAGATCTGTATTCAGATCTCTGGGTTTGAGAAGACATGATATCCTTCCTAGAAGGTACTTACTCTTGAAGATTACAAAGTCATCTAAGAAAGCGTATTTGAAGAAACAAGTTCAGACACTAGAACACAGTGATGGGAAATGTTTTGGTCAGAGAATACCTCCTCAGCAATATAGGAAGCATCAATAACTCTGCTCAGCAATAATAAATGCTCAAAAAAAAAAAAAAATTCCCTGACAGGCACACTCAAAGCTAACCGCCTGTTTTCTTTTCTTTTTATTGAGGTCACATTAGTTTATAACATTATATAAACTTCAGATGTACATTGTATTTCAACTTCTGTATAGACTCTCATCATGTTCACAACCAAAAGACTAGTTGCCTAATTGCCTGTTTTCGTAAAGCAGTTTTGGCAGGGCCAGTAGACAATCATGAGTAGTTTCCACATAGCAAATCAGCAGGTGAGGATGGCTGGCATGACAAAAGGCATGGAACACTAACTAGAAACCCCTTCTAAAATTTTAACAGGACACACAAGGGAAGAATGATGGATGTGGCTTACTGCTGCAGTTTTGTTTAGTCACTGCCACATGTGGGTTACCCTAGCCTCATGTCCACCCAGACTCTTGGGGGAGTGCCCACCCAAGAGTGACCATGTCAACAGTCCTATCCCCTGAATCTGTTCCAGAGCCTCCAAACCTTGCTTTGAATAACTATGCAAAGAGGGACTGTTATATCACAAAATTATATGTAAGCCACTTCCTATCAAAATAGGGCAAAACTAAACAATCCCTTTTCACAGACAGACCCTTCACACCTTCCCCTTGCTTCTTTCCAGTAACAGCAAGGAAGAAATATATAATCCTCAAAACTAAATTATGAGGTGCAGAAATAGGCCCTAAATCTAACTTCCTTATGAAGCCACGATCAAATAATTGTCCAGATACAATCACCTTTCATAGAAGTGGCTACCCAGGAGAATCCTAACTGGTCTCCCACTCACATGTAGAACCACCACGATGGGTAGAGACACTTTGGTGTAATAAAGAAGGCAAGGACTTGGAAGTCAGATCCGAGTTCAGTCTTGGCTCCAACCACTTACTAGCCAGTCACCTAACCTCACTGAGACTCAAGTTTCTTGTACAAATATTATCAGGATTGAATGGGATAACATATCCTCAATAATTCTGGAAACAATAAAGCACTATGTGCATAAGACAAATGGCATTAAGCTTAGGGATTCACTGTATAAAAAGAAAAACTGGCTGAGTTAAGAATGGGCAGAGTCTAAGTGCTCCCAGATGGATTTTAAGCTAAGGACTTGAAAAGCAGAGGAAGCTAGTAAGCACCTGTAGAATTGACTGCTCAGCATTCCTCCCTTCTTCTGGGAAAGGTTTTCTCAACAATAAGAGAAAGGAACCTTCAGAAGAGGAAGCCTCAGCACCTTTCCTCACTTCCCGACTCTGAAGGAGTGTGTGAAGAAAGTAGCTTGCAGCAGCGACCACCATCTTGTAACCAAAGTTGCAAAAAATGAAAGACAATATGTTGAAAATTATGGAGTTAATGTGGAAATCTGATGAAGTGCTAAGTTGCCAAATCAAATTTGGAAGTGCTTACCTCTAGACTTCTTCTTATGTAAACATTAGTGTCCCTTTTTTTTTTTTTAAAGATTGGCACCTGAGCTAACAACTGTTGCCAATCTTTTTTTTTTTTGCTTTATCTACCCAAATCCCCCGGTACATAGTTGTATACTTTAGTTGTGGGACCTTCTAGTTGTGGCCTGTGGGATGCCGCGTTAGCACGGCCTGATGGGCGGTGCCATTGCGCGCGAACTTAACCACTCGGCCGTGGGGCCAGCCCTAAGATTAGTGTTCTTAAGGTTTAAGTTACTAGTACTTGGTATTGTGTTCATTACACTTTAAAATATCCTAAATGCCACCTTAGCTAAAACTTTCCATGAATCACTCTCACTAAGTGTTTAGAAATACTGCTCCAATGTCCTCTATTTAAGCTATTATGATTTTCCATGTGCTGGGCTTATCACACATTCCAGGCATTATCTCATTTAATCCTTACAACAACCCTGTGAGGTAGGTAGTTATTCCCTTTCTACAGATAGTATGAGGCTCAGAGCAGTTAAGTGACTTGAAAACTGACAAGCTAGTGCATGGCAGATCTGAGATTAGAACACATGTCTCTGACCCCAAAGTCTGCACCTTTCAGCTACTAAACCCTACATAACATGTGAAGGCAGAGTCTTCCCCCAATTTTAGATTATGCTGACTGTATTTCTTTAAAGGTTATGAACTGCAATTGTTTCAATTTCATAGGAGACATTTTTTCTTGCTTTGTAGACATATATTGAAAAGATGGAGCTAAGTTGTTCTCTATTATTTGCATATCCTTCTACAACTGTCAAAGATGAGGATGTAGTAAATTTTTGCTGTGTTCTTTTAATCTAACAGTGATCAAGTACATGAATTATGCATTGTGTTAACAACTGTAAAGTCAGCTTATCTTAAAACTGCAAAAGACCAACAACTGGTATTTATGATTTAATAAACAGGAAACAAAGCTCTAAAAGGAAGTGACTTGCTCATGGTTCCACTGCTACTAAGTGCCAGTATTAGGGTGCAATCCCAGGATTTTTGAGTCTATGTTCTATGTGCTTTTTATAACACTGTTGAGTGAAAATGAGGATGTACTCATTGCATTTTAAAAATATTGTAACTTTCCGGAATAGAAAAGTAGTACATTCTCATTGTAGAAAATCCAAAAAGCATAGAAAAGTATAAAGAAGAAAATAGAAATCACCTATAATCCTATCACCCAGAGATAATCAGTTAATGTTTTGGTTTGGTATTATTTCATTCCCATTCCTTTCCAATGCGTAAATGTTTTAAAAAATTTGGATCATACTTCATTGTTTTTTCTTTATCTTCCATTTTTCCAAATCATTTCCCTCATGGCATTAAATATGCTTTAAAAAGGTTTACAATGGCCGCAAGACCATCATTCATTTAAACCCTGTACTGTTAAAATCTAGTTTTCTTCTTTCAGTTATATATGATGCTGGCATGAATATCCCTTCTGTTAATCTTTGTCTACTTCTCATTACTTTCCCTGTATGGATTCTTAGAAATAGAATTAAAGTTGATGATACTGAAAAACTGCTTTTCCAAAAGGTAGCAATTAGTCCTACTACCAACAATACATGTTATTTATGAGGTTTCTTTCTCCTCATTATGTTTTCTCTGGTGTTGAATAAGTTGTGAGCTATAACGATAGGCTTTCCCACACTCACTACATTTATAGGGTTTCTCCTTAGTGTGGGTTCTCAAATGTAAAATAACTTGAGAAGTCTGCCTGAAGGTTTTCCCACATTCGTTACATTTATAGGGTTTCTCTCCAGTGTGAACTCTCTGATGATCAATAAGGTTTCGATTAGAAGTAAACGCTTTCCCACACTCGTTGCATTTGTAAGGTTTCTCTCTACGATGAAGTCTCTGATGTTCATTAAGGGTCTTCCTTAAGATGAAAGCTTTTCCACACTCATCACATTCATAAGGCTTCTCCCCAGTGTGAATTCTCTGATGGTCCATAATCTTTGTATTAGAAACACATGTTTTCCCACACTCTTTACATTTGTAAACTTTTTTTCCTTTGTGCATCCTCTGATGTTGAGTAAGGTTTGAACTACGGCTAAAAGCTTTCCCACACTCGATACAAGTGTAGGGCTTCTCCCCAGTGTGAACTCTGTGATGTGAAATAAGACCTGAACTCCGACTAAAGGCTTTCCCACACTCCTTACATTCATAAGTTTTCTCCCCACTGTGGACTCCCTGGTGCCGAATGAGGTGTGACTTACCACTGAAAGATTTCCCACATTCACTGCATGTGTAGGGCTTCAGTCCAGTGTGGATTCTCCGATGAACAACAAGGTTGGAGCTATGACTGAAGGCTTTTCCACACTCCTTACACTTATAGGGTTTCTCCCCTGTGTGGATTCGCTCATGTACTGTAAGGTTGGCACTCTGACTAAAGGCTTTCCCACACTCAGTACATACATACTGTCTCTTTTCAGCCTGAAATTTCTCGTCTGTAGCAGGGTCAGAGAACTGACTACCATCTTTTTCAGATTCTTGGTCACTCACTTCTATGAGTGTTTTATTAAGTGTCTTATGTTTGAAGTTTCTCATCTTTCTCCTCATTTTCTCTTTCTTGGGGCATCACAGTGGCCTGTTGAATCTTCTCTTTCCCTTCAGAGCAGCTTTCTAAATTTTGACTTCCTTGGCAAACCTCTGTGAAGTTCTCTTAAAAGTACGAGATTCTGATTTTTCAGGGATGATACTTTGGAATCAATACCTCCTCAGTTCCAGTTTCAGCATCTGACAGAAGAAACAGAAATTGTACATGTCACCTGTTCTATATATTAGAGGAAGGAGAATTATCCAAGGATGACAATCTGTGGTAGACCACAGGGTTTCACATGGAAGAGTTAAGTGTTCAAAGGCAGGGGGAACTGATCAAAAAAGATGAGAAAAATGAGGTTAGACATAGAGACCAAGGTACAGCCTTATGGAAAGCCAGGGCTAACAGGAGCCCAACAGGTCTAACATCAGAATGAGCAAAGACTAGTACAAAATCCACCCTGGTTTCTTCCTGTCTCATGCTCTACTCCTAGAATTAGGGCCATTTAACTCCTAATCTGGTCCCTAGAAAAAACACACTGAAAGATGCTTAGTTCAGTAGCTCAATGACTACTCTTCAGATCAATTTGACTTTTACTTCTTGCTGACCTATTCCCCTAGTACCAGTAATATAGTCACTGGCACAAGATAGGTGCTCAAGAATTGTTTTACAGAATAGCAATTGGGATTCAGTCTTAGGGTATGACTAAGATTTTGGTTTTTTGCTCTAGTCCAGGCACTAGGCCCCTGTCTACATCCCTTGTTCTTACACTCTGTCTTGATAGGGGTAACATAATTCTTCCAATATTGGAGCCTAGACACATCATAGCCTACTCTGTAGATGCCAGTCTACAACTAGATCCAGTCGTAGGTGCTAGTTCAGTCTGTCTGCTTTTCACAAGCTGTTACTCGGACAGACCGAGTCTACTGGGTGGACCTGAGAGGCTGAACTGGGGACAGGGTTCATTAAAGCACGGAAGGGGAAACTCTGATAGGACCTTGCATGGCATAAGGGTAAAGTATCTAAAGATGGCAAAAGGGTGAGAGGAGAGGACAGCACAACCAAGAAGGGCTGATACATGAAACCAATGTCAAGAATGAGCAGGAGTTTCCCAACTGGTTTGACGTGAAACTCTGGACATAGAGATAACCCTAGCTGACCTCAAATCTAGAGGTAGCTGGGTCATAAAAGAAAACTGAAAGATGACTCCATGATACTAACACATGACTAATTTTCCTTTTACTATGTTCTTTTTCAGACTTGTCCATGTCCATAGTTATACAGTTATAAATATACAGTAGATATAATTTTGCATCCTACTTCTTCCACTTAATTTTTATAAGTATTTTCATACATTGCTATTTAATTTTCATATGATCATTTTATGACTACACCACCAATTGAATTCATTATAATTTATCTACAGTTTTGCTGGTGTTGGACATTTCTGTTGTTCCCCGAGGTTAACCTCTATCAATAATGCTATCACAATCATTTTATACATATAAAGTTTTTTTCCTATTGAAATATATCCCTAGGATAAAAGTTCCACAAGTGAGTGATTGGGTCAGATGGAATGAAATCGTTTTGCAGTATTACCTACTGCTTTTCAAAAAAGTCTGACCAGTTTCCATTGTCTCATAGCTTCTTGATAAATTGAGACACACTCTCTGAAGGAGGAGATATCCAGTGTTGAGTGCTCAAGAGAAGCAAGAAGAGAAAAGAACTGTGGAGGTTGGAGTTCACATCTCAGAAGTGCAGGTCCACTGATGCCATACACAGGCACAAATACAGACTCACACCCAAGATATGAAGGGTAGGCAGACAAAATGGTGGGGGAGGGTCGATTCTTGCCAGGATCCTGAGCACATTCCTATCTTGCTGCTGGTACCTCTCCTAATCAAATAGAAGGAAGCAGGTGGGGGAAACTCAGTGAGAACCCAGGGGACTACAGAGCAAAGTGGGATAGCAAGTGAAGCCACCTCCAGAGAAAGTTGATGGTTCTTTCTGAGTTTTCTTTTCCATTTTTCTTCTTCTCTGAAACTTTCCTTTCTCTTTATATATTTCTTATACTAGTAATTATTGAGCACTCTACCCTATACACATTTCTGTTCTGGGTCTAATACAGGGAAAATTTTAAAAAGCATTGTTGCAGAAAAGAAGAAAATAACTATCGTGGGATGAATAAATGAGTGAATGAACAGGTGGACAAGGTTATATATTTACTGTTATGAAGGCCTCTCATTGTGCGGGCAAATTGTCTTCTGCTAACCTGTATTATTTCTTAATTCTTCTTACAGTATTACTTATGGAAAAGCTGGGAAATGACTTTAGATGAACAGATTCCCATAATTACTAGAACAAAGAATTTTAGAGATTCAGAATGAGACAATGCCTTGAAGCCAGTCACTGGATGTCTTATTTCTAGGCATGGCCTATCTGAAGCTCCCCAGTTAGCCAGTGCACCAACTATTCTACCCTTAAAGGCTGGTATGGGAAACATCAATCTCATGGCCTTCCGGGAAGAGGTGTCCAGGGAAAATGTTAATAACCAGGTATTTACATGGCTCTGTCACAAAGCAATAAATATCATTATTGAATGCAAAAAGAAAAAAAAAAGCATTGTTATGTACTGAATGCGTCCCCCAACCCCCAAATTCATATGTTGAAGCCCTAACCCCCAATGTGACTATATTTGGAGATGTGACCTCTAAGGAGGTAATTAAGGTTAAATGAGGTCATAAGGTTGGGGCCTTAATCTGACAGGATTAGTGTATCCTTATAAGAAGACATAGGAGAGAGCTCACATGAAGAAGGTAGTCATCTACAAGCCAGGAAGAGAGTCCCCACCAGAAACCAAATCAGCTGGTCGCCTTGATTTTGGACTTCCAGTCTCCAGAACTGTGAGAAAGTCAAGGTCTGTTGTTTAAGCCACCCGGTCTATGGTATTTTGTTATGGCAGCCCAAGCAGACTAATATAAGCATGAAATATCATACCTACCTTTAAGGAGCTTACAATGGAGTAAATGGCAAAACGGGAGAGCAATTATAAACTTACAAAGTACCCAATCAGGAGACGAAGGGGGCCAGGGGAGGGAGTGATTACTGGGGCTTGGACTGCTTGGGGAAAGGTGCTTTAAAAATGCAAAACTTTGGCAGAGCCCCAGAGGGTAAGCAGGAATTGTTTCTCAAAAGGAAGTCTGCACAGGGCCAGTGTACTCAGAAATAAGCCGGAGACTACCCCATCACATAGGTTCACGAGGGCAGGGATTTTGTCCATTTCGTTCAGCATTGTGTGCTTAGCTCCTAGCACAGTTCCAGCTACATAGCAAGCACTCAAAAAAATTTTTTGTTGAATGAACAAATGAAGGAATGAAAGAATCAAGTTGCCTGAAGTGATACGAGCCAGAACACTGAAATTATGGGGCAAAAAATACGGATATAATTTGATGATCAATGGGAAACAAGTTCTAAACAAAAGAGTGAAATCTATCCTTAAATTTCTTTCCCCACTCCATATTCTTTTTTCTACCTTGCTATTCTCCTCTCTTGTTACTTTCCTTCTCATTCTCACTTATCAAGAATATAGTTTTTCAAGCATTACCATTCATTTCTGCTAGTCTCCATACTTCCCTCCACCCCTCAGCACTAACTGTTTTTCTCAGCTTCATGAAGTGGAAAACAGAGGAGAGAGGCATCTGGGGTATCCCATGAAGAGTAAATTGAGAGAAATAAAAAGAAAGAATCCAAGAAATGCCACCTAGGAGTACAGTGATCATATATTCTAGTTTTCCCAGAAGAGTGCTGCTTTATACCTGCTATTCCAGCATCATTATTAATAGTGGTCCCCTTAACTCACAAAAGTATCCCAATTTGGACAATAAATTTTGTATCATCCTACCCAGGAAAAGAATGCTTTAGGAAGACTAGCCCAGATAGATTAGAGGTGAAAAAAAGAATGGAGGAAGGGAAATGAGTTGGGAGACAACTTTAGGAATGCAGTATGGGTGACCATTAGAGGGTTTGCCACATTCTATGCGCCCAATAAATGTTTGTTGAATGAATGAGACAGCGAGACCGTGGTCCAGAATAATGACAGGACAGAGAACAATGACGTCCAGGTATTTGCAGGAAAGTGTGTGCATATATCAGATTGGATATAGACAATGACTGAAGGAAAGAATTCAGGGTCATCAGGTCTGAATATCAAGAATGGTACCATCACTAAGAAAGATGGAGATGTAGGAAAACACTTTAGACAAGAGGAGGAAAAATATGTCAGGAATGCAAATTTGAGAATAAGACAGAGGGGAGAGGAAGTCATGAAAATGTACAAGCTTGCTGAGCTAGAGATTTTGTTTAGAAGGACAGGTAGGGAGAAAGAGAAATGCATAAGGATGTGCTGTAAGGAAGGATAGGGTGGGTCTGGGGGACCTGAGGAGGCAGCAAGACTTGTAAAGAGATCAGGGAGGACCAAGTCTGAGGAGAGTCTGATCAAGAGAAAACATACATATTTGCTCTTTGTCTGACTGGATGGGAAATTCCCTCAGAAATCCTGGAAGAATTCCCAGGCACTAGGAAGGTGGAGTCTTGGCTGGAGAAGTAGGAGAAGGGACAGATGAGGCCATAAGGCCAGCAGGACACTAGGGTATCCAGGCAACTGTGCACAAAAGCACAATCTCAGACAACTGGATGGATGAGATGGATGAGGCCCCACAGATCTCTGACCCACAAATCCCTGAGACTGATGGGTGAGTGCTCTCATCTCATGACCACCATTCCTTTCAGGCTGCGAGGAGCTCACAAAGGTCTGAGTCCTATTCCCAGAGAGAAAGAGGTTTTACCTGGGCTAGGTTGTATTCCTTTAATTCGCCAGCATCACCTGCCTTTTCAGGTCCCTCTGAGCAGTGGTCACATGGTCCTTGGTTATTAATTAGCTGCAATGGAGTGAGGAATAAGAGGTAATACCTGAAAATAAATTCCAGAGAGACAGATGAGTGAAATGTAAAAATTGAAAGGAAAAAAAAAGAACTAGAAGAAAATATCA